TTGGAAAAGTACAATTTTTAAAACTGTATCCACCAAGATTCTATTTAGTTTAATAATATTTGCAAAACAACTGGTAAGTTATCCTGTCCTCAATCTGAGATAGACTAAGCATGTTGAAAATAAAGCAAAAGGCATTAAGACGCAAACAACCAGAGAAATTATAGTGTCTGTACCAGCAGCACACAATACATTTAGCAAATACCATGAATCCACAAAAATGTTTCCTGAAAGCTCTATTACTGTGACACATGCATCTCAACATGGCCTCCTGTAACCCTCAGATTAATCACTCCTATGTGGTTGTGATATTTTATACTAAACATGCCATGTAAGATATCATATGAAAGATCATGATCTGTTGAAACTCACTCTTCTGTGCAAATATGTATATCATTAATGAGTATGAAGTTGTGAGATTTTGCTGTATGGTTGTTACTGAAATATGCTGCAAGTTTGCTAGAGACATACAAAGGACTCTCATCCAGGAGGGTGTTCAACAACCATTAATTAGCAGAGGAACTGCAATCAAGGGATTTACAATTAACTGACAGTTGCCCAAACCCCACACAATGGGGACTGCTTAACTCTATGACTCAGTTGCACAAGTCCACACCAGGAGGATTGCTCAACCTATTGATTCAGCAAAGCCCACCAGGACATATCTGGGGAAGTGTCTTCTAGGCACATGGACTGAGGGTTTAAGAAACAGTGGCATCTTGCCTTGGCCTTTCTCCTCCCCCACCTATGCTCGAAGCAACAAGAATGCTGAGAAGACGAAAACTTCAACTGAGGAAACTGGTCCAGGCTCAAGAGAGACCTGTGTATTAAGAACTGTAACATGCAGTGGGGTGAGAAAATTGCTTGCTAAATACTACCTAGTGTCATAAGGTTTAAAATTTAGATTCTGCGCTTATCTTTTATTTTCTGACCTCTTATTTATTCCTTATTTAAAATCTCTTTCTGTAATAAATCTTTTTTATATTTTATCTAAAACTGTGATTTGTTTGAAATTTAATAGTGAAAAGTGCAAGGTCATGCATTTAGGGATTAATAACAAGAATTTTGGTTTTAAGCTGGGGACGCATCAGTTGGAAGCAGGGCCGGTGCAACCACTAGGCGAACTAGGCGGTCGCCTAGGGCACCAAATGGTTGGGGGCGCCCACTGGGTCTTAGTGTCCACCCTTCTCGTTTTCCTATCCCTGTTCTGACCCTTCCTGCAGGCTCAGAGTCTTCCTGGGAAGGGGATCTAGCAGTTAAAAGAGAAAAAGCCTCCAGCCTGCCAGACCTATTAGCACAACACTGAAACTGTTAAAGAGCCATTCAAGGGGTAATGAAGCCATTTAACAGGCATTTACCAACCCTCAGGTATCTACTGTCAGTTTCTGAATGTACTGACAAAAACAGTTGTGCATGACTGTCATATTTACTCAGGACATGTCAGTCTACAGGATCTTAGGCCTTGTCTACACTTGGGAATTCACAGCGCTGCCGTGAAGCGCGAGTGTAGTCGTGCCGCCAGCGCTGCGAGAGAGCTCTCGCAGCGCTGTATGTACTCCACCTCTCCGAGGGGAGTAGCTTGCAGCGCTGCGAGCGAGCGTGCAGCGCTGCAGGCGCTGATTACACTGGCGCTTTACAGCACTGCACTCGCTGCGCTCGGGGGGGGGGAGGCGCGTTTTCACACCCCTGAGCACAGCAAGTTGCAGCACTGTACAGCGCCAGTGTAGCCAAGGTCTTAGTTTAAAATTTGCTTTAAAAATATGTCATTGGTGAGTTGGTGAAGATCATAAAATCACATCTCTAAAAAAATCCTTGCACAGATTTTTAGATGCACAATCATCTTTAGCCTTAAATGCTTGGATCTTCAGACATATGGGTTTTTAAATAAATCCTTCAAAAGACCTCCCTTATCTAAAATACACATTTTAATTACTATAGTAAAAAAGTCCGAAGTCTTCCAGTCCTTTCTGTTCATCCATTTCTCCCTTCACCCCCTCTCTCCTCCCCCACTGAAGAGAGCCCTTAAACAGACAACAGTCCTTTGCTTCCAGATAGGTGGACGAAGAGTTTCCCTTTCTTTACTTCTGACTATCTGATGAACTAGTTTTAAGCAAAATCAGTACCTCTTTGGAAACAGGTTTTTAAAGTTGGTGAAATTTCATAAACATGTGTATTGTTATGGAGATCACACACAGTAAATTAGTGTTCCCTTTTTCTAAAAGCAATGAACATTGTTATGAACACACTAAACCTCTGTAACTAATTTAAAATAATGTCCGTTTCAGTGAGTTAAATATGTAGTAATCTGGAATGATTACTTTATGAAGGTTTAAGAGTACATTTAAAATATAAAATCAGCTTAGAAATACTGATTAAGAAAATGTAAAACAGAAGAGCTGCATCATGTATTCCATAATATTTAATGTTGTATTCAGCAAGACAGCTTACTCACCCTTACCACAAAGTTTTTGCCAATAAATGTCTGACAAACTTCAGGGCATATCAAAAAACCTGTGACTGACATTTTTTATTGCCAAATTTAGTGCTTTTAAGTAGGTACCTTCTGCATGTCCATTCTGCGTGAGGGAGAGGGTACAGGGATCTCTGCAGGGAACTCTGACTCTCCGCCACCGTGAGGCGGGCTGGGCGTCTTATTATTCTTTCCGCTTTGTCCCTCCGCCCCCGCCGGGCTGCAAGCTCAGGCTGCCATCAGGCATAGGGGCACCAGTTTAATAATACTGCATAGAGCCCCATAAATCTTAAGGACGGCCCTAGGGGTGCCAAAAAGCGGTGCCCTGGCTCGGCAGGGAGGAGCTGCCTTCCGGAGACACCGGAGAGTCAGAGCGTTGGCTTGCGGGGGCGGCGAACCCCAGCCATGGAGAAGCCGGCACGGCACAGGAGGGCAAGAGCCCTGCAAAGGCGGCACCGCTGCTAGCGAGGAGCAGCCGCGCCCCTTGCCCCTCCTGCCCAGGCTGCAGCCTGGCGCCCTCCCCGGGGGCTCCTGCAGACTGGAGCAGATGCATGCAGGGAGAGGCCCCCGTGCGCCCCCCATCTCCCCGCTCGCTGTGCTCGGGGTCTGTGGCTCCTGGGCATGTGAGCCACTGCCAGGGCGTGGGGCCCTGAGACTGCTCTGGGAGGGGCAGCAACAGCGGCAGCTCATGCTCCCGGGACCCGCAGAGCCTGAGCACGGCGAGGGAGGAGCCGGGGGACGCATGTAGTCCTCTGCCCACATGTATCTGTCCTCTGCCGGGGGCACCTGGCCACAGCCTAGGCAGGAGGGGCAAAGGATGCAGCTGCTCCCCGCTAGCGCCGCTGCTGCCTTTGCAGGGCTGCTGCCCCCTGCGCCGCGCAGACTCCTCCATGGCTGGGGCTCGCCGCTGATGCTCTGGCTCTCCGGTGCCTCCGGAAGGTGGCTTCTCCCTGCCGAGCTGCTGCAGCGGCCCAAGCCCAGCAAAGCCAGTGAGTGGACTCGGGGCGGGGGCCACCAGGGTGGGGGTGGACTCGCGGGGGGGCTGTGCACCCTCCAGGGGAGTTCGGGGGCGGGGAGGGGGGAACCTGGTCTGGGGAGCAGCCCCTGGGCATGGCTGGCCCCTGGGGTCTATAAAGGCGAACCGCGGCCAGTGGGAGTCGCAATCAGCCGAACCTGCGGACACGGCAGGTAAACAAACTGGCCCGGCCCGCCAGGGTGCTTACCCTGGTGAGGAGCGTGCCAGAGGTTGCCGACCCCTGATTTAAGCTCAGTACCAATGTAGACAAGAACAAATGGATATAAACTGGCCATCATGAAGTTTAGACTTGAAATTAGACAAAGGTTTCTAACCATCAGAGGAGTGAAGTTCTGGAAGTTCCAAGGGGAGCAGTGGGGGCAAAAGACAGATCTGGCTCCAAGACTAAGCTTGATAAATTTATGGAGGGGATGGTACGATGGGATTGCCTAATTTTGGCAATTAATTGATCTTTGACTATTAGCGGTAAATATGCCCAATGGCCAGTGATGGGATGTTAGATGGGATGGGATCTGAGTTACTACAGAGAATTCTTTCCTGGGTGTCTGGCTGGTGTCTTGCCCACATGCTCAGGGTTTAGCTGATTGACATATTTGGGGTCGGAAGGAATTTTCCTCCTGAGCAGATTGGCAGAGGCCCTGGGGGGTTTTCGCCTTCCTCTGCAGCATTGGGCATGGGTCACTTGCTGGAGGATTCTCTGCACCTTTAAGTCTTTAAACCACGATTTGAGGATTTCAATAGCTCAGATACAGATTAGGGGGTTGATACAGGAATGGGTTGGTGAGTTTCTGTGGCCTGTGTTGTGCAGGAGGTCAGACTAGACAATCATAATGGTCCCTTCTGACCTTAAAGTCTATGCGTCTAAGTGCTTGGGAAATCTCAGCTCAGATACAAAGGCTGGTGCATGTTTTCTCTACATTGAGGGAGGGGGCAGACAGGGTAATAAACTTACACTGTTCAGACTTCTGACCAGGGTGAGACAGTATAGTCCAGGGGTAAGAGGCTGGGAAGCTGAGAGGAATTGCCTGGTGCCTCTCTCTAGGTGATTTGTGAGTGGCTTTGGGAGCATTCATGCAATCTAGCTGGGCGTGGGGCTCCACATGCTGTTTTGCTGAGCGACAGCAGTTCCTGGAGAGGTTTGCTGCTTGTTACTAGCAAAGCATTGTGAGAGGTAGCCCAGGAGGAAGAGTTAAGGGGGTATAGCGGAACCCCAGTTCCAGGTTGCACTCTGGGCATGCCATCACAATTACCATTTATGCTGAGATGCTCTGAAGATTCTTCAAGCAACATCAAGATACAGAAGACCTTAGCACACTTCAGTACATCCAAATATGAAACTGAGGCATCTGAAAAACTGCCAACACTGATATGATGCATTTACCGCTTTTTGAATCAACTCAAATTGACAACTAGCCTGGAGTTATTATTGATGTGACACGGAGTTATTCTGATTAGTTTTAAATCCACTAAATTCTCAAGGATTCAAATATAACTTACCACAGCAAGCTGTGTCCGCGAAGCTACCGTGTGAAACACTGCAGGCATCATGAGAGATTCTTCAACTTTTAATTCCATCTCATTCTCTGCTGAAAATGTGGTTTTGGGAATAGCTGGTGGGCGTTCACATAAGATCATCTCTTTGTTGAACAGGAAAATTGGGTTTGTGTCCTGTAATAAAATAAAAATATCTTCATAAAGCACTTTGAGAAAATAAAACAGGCCTGTAATCCAAACAACTAACTGCACTAGCATGTTCTGAAAACAGCATAACTTACGTAACTATTCGCAGCAAATTACTTATATGAGTATTGCATCCAATTATATGTAAAACCACTTATTTCCTGATATTAAAAACAAGAACGAACAAACAAAAAAAGTCTACAGAAAAAAGAAAAAAAAACACACACAACCCCTACCTCCCTCCAAAAAACCCACACATCACTAGGAAGCTGTAACTCTCACTTCTCCTCAACACTTTGTTTTGTAAGGGGACAAAGAGAGAGACTATAGTGTACACTTACTGTTCCAGCACTGTAACTACAGACTCTTCTGTCTGCTGCCATACACTCCCCTCCATTGACAACCAGCACCTGGTGCTGAATGGCAATCTTATACTTGGTTTGGATTGCATGTTTAAGGTCGGACACACTAAAAGGGAAAAACAGGAACTTTAGTATCAATATCTTATTTAAGCAACTGATCTTCTCTCATGCAAAGTATTCCTGTAATATACGAAGTAATTTTTAACTCTAACAGCAGTAGAGAAAAAACTAATTGTGAATAAGGGCAAAATGCATGTTTGTGTAAATACTGCAATCCGTTCTATTTCTGGCTTCCCAATTCATAGACTAAGAACAAAACATGACCCATCCTCAGAGAAATGGGTTTACAAAATGATACGTCTCAGCTATTTACACAAGAAGCACATCTGCAACTGTAATGCTGGAGTCCAGGATTAACATGCATTTCTGGCAATTACTGCCAAAGTTATATTAAACTCTGAACATGAGTCAACTACTGACTTAGTTTAACTGTCCTCTTCGAGTCTAATATTATGTTAGGGGAAGTTATAAGAATATAAGAACTGTCATACTGAGTCAGACTAATGGTCCACCTAGCCCAGTATCTTGACTTCCAACAGTGGCCAATATCAGATGATTCAGAAGGAATGAACAGAACAAAGCAATTATGGAGAGATCCATCCCATGTCAAACACTGACAGCTTTTGGCAGTAAGAGACTAGGGACACTCAGAACATGGGATTGCATCCCTGACCATCTTGGCTAATAGCCATTAATGCAGCTATCCTCTCTGAACTTATCTAATTCTTTTTTAAACCCAGTTATAGTTTTGGCCTTCACAACATTCCCTGGTTCTTGTGTTATCTGAAGGGGGAAATAATACTTTCTTATTCACTTTCTACACACCATCCATGATTTTGTAGACCTCTACAATATCCTCCCCCTGTTGTCTCTTTTCCAAGATGAAATGTCCCAGTCTTTTTAATCTCTCCTCATATGGAAGCTGTTCAATACCTTTAATCATGTTGTTGCCCTTCTATGTACTTTTTCAAATTCTAACATATCTTTTTTTTTAAATGAACGGACTAGAACTACGTGCAGTATTCAAGGTATGGGTGTACCGTGGGCTTATGATATTTTCTGTCTTATTAGCTATCCCCTTCCTAGCTTTTTTCACTGAGCAGATCTTTTCAGAGAACTATTCAAAATGACAACAGGATCTCTTTCTTGAGAGGCAGCAACTAATTTACACCATATCATTTTGTATGTATAGTTGAGATTTTGTTTTCTAATATGCATTACTTGCATTTAGCAACATTGAATTTCATCTGCCATTTTGTTGCCCAGTCATCCAGTTTGTGAAATCCCTTTGTAACTATTGGCAGTCTACTTTAGACTTTACTATCTTGAGTAATTTTGTATCATCTACAAACTTTGCCACCTCACTGTTTACCCCCTTTTCCAGATCATTTATGAATATATTGAACACTGGACCCAGTACAGATCCTTGAGGGACCCTGTTATTTACCTCTATCCATTCTGAAAACTCACCATTTATTCCTACCCTTTGTTTTCTGTCTTTTAAGCAGTCCATGAGAGGACCATCCTTTTTAATCACATCTGCTTACTTTGCTGAAGAGCCTTTGGTGAGGTACCTTGTCAAAAAGTCCATATACACTAAAATCAACCGGATCACTCCTTCCCGCATTTGTTGACCCTTTCAAAGAATTCTAATAGATTGAGGAGGCATGATTTCCCTTCACAAAAGCCATATTGACTTGACCAACAAATCGTGTTCCTCTACGTGTCTGATAATTCTGTTCTTTACTACAGTTTCACCCAATTTCCTGTTACTGAAATTAGGCTTACTGGCCTGCAATTGCCATAATCACCTCTGGAGCCTTTTAAAAAAAATTGGTATCACATTAGCTATCCTTCAGCCATCTGATTCAGAGGGTGATTTAAGCGATAGGTTACATACCACAGTTAATAATTCTGCAGTTTCATATTTGAGTTACTTCAGAACTCTTGGGAGAGTATCATGTGGTCCTGGGGACTTATTGCTGTTTATCAATTTGTTCCAAAACCTCCTCTATCTACACCTTAGTTTGGGACAGTTCCTCAGATTTGTCACCCAGAAACAATAGCTCAGGTGTGGGAATGAATTCTGCTGTAAAGATTGATGCAAGAATTAACAGCTTCTCCGCAATGACCTTATCTTCCTTTAGTGTTCCGCTAGAACCTCTATTGTCCAGTGGCCCCACTGATGATTTGCCAGGCTTCCTACTTCTGATGTACTTAAAAAAAAATTCTCTTAAGTTTTTGTGTCTCTAGCTAGTTGCTCTTCAAATAGTAAAATTAGGCAAGCCAAAAAAGTTTTACACTTGACTGGCCAGAGTTTATGCTCCTTTCTATCTTCCTCAGTAGGATTTGATTTCCAATTTTAAAGGATGTCTTTTTATCTCTAACTGCCTCTTTTACTCTGTTTAGCCATGGTGGCATTTTTTTGGTCATTTCACTGTTTTTTGTTTTGTTTTTGTTTGTAAATTAGGGATAGACATATAGTTTGAGCCTCTATTATGGTATTTGTAAAACGTTTCCATGCAGCTTGCTGGTATTTCACTCTTGTGATTGTTCCTGTTAATTTCCATTTAACTAACCTACTCTATTTTGTGCAGTTCCCCTTTTTGAAGTTAAATGCTACTGTGCTGGGCTTCTTTGGTACGTTCCCTCTGACAAGGATGTTAAATTAAATTACATTATGGTCACGATTACCAAGTGTTTAGCTGTCATCACCTCTTGACCAGATCCTGTGTGCCACTTCGGACTAAATCAGTAATTGCCTCTCCCCCTGTGGCTTCCAGGACCAGCTGCTCAAAGAAGCAGTCATTAATGCTATCTAGAAATTTTACTTCTGCATCCCGTTCTGAAGTGACATATACCCAGTCTATATGGGGATAGTTGAAATCCCCCATTACTATCGAGTTTTCTATTTTTGTATCATCTCTAATCTCCATGAGCATTTCATAATCACTATTATCATAGTGGTCAGATGGTCAGTAATATATTCCTACTGTTAGGCTCTTATTCTTCAAGCATGGAATTTCTATCCATAAAGATTCTATGGTACAATTTGATTGATTTAATATTAGATTTGATTCTGTGCTTTCTTTCACATATAGTGACATTCTCTCACCAGCACGACCTACTTTGTCATTCCTATAGATTTTGTATTCTGGTGCTATGTCCTACTGATTATCACAGTTCCACCAAGTTTCTGTGATGGTTATTATAGCAATATCCTCATTTAATACCAGGCACTGAAGTTCATCCATCTTAATATTTAGACTCTGTACATTTATATAGAAATACTTATAAAATTTGTCAATATTAGTTGTCTTCCTTCATGTGACTGGCTCTCTGCTGTCTCTGATAGACATATGTATAACTCCATACTTTTGGGATTTATCACAGAATAAATGAATGCGACTTTTTCATTTGATTGTTTCTCTTCAGCTCCTACCTGTACTTTATCAACGTCTATCCTCACCTCTTTACTAGGGTATAGAGAATACCCATTAACAGATTCCCCTCCCCAAGGGATGCATCTGTCCAAACTGTGAGGTCGTCCACAACTGTTGGCTTTCCCCCAGACCTTAGTTTAAAAACTCCTCTACAACATATTTAATTTTACATGCCAGCAATCTGGTTCTGATTTGGTTTAGGTACAACCCATCCTTCTTGTACAGTAACTCCTCGCTTAACGTTATAGTTATGTTCCTGAAAAATGCTACTTTAAGCAAAACGATGTTAAGCGAATCATATTCCCTCAGAAGAATTAATGTAAATGGGGGGGAGGCTCATAGGTTCCAGATAAATTGTTTTCATCAGACAAGAGACTATAGATATATATATATATAGGTTTCAAAGTAGCAGCCTTGTTAGTCTGTATCCACAAAAAGAACAGGAGTACTTGTGGCACCTTAGAGACTAACAAATTTATTTCAGCATAAGCTTTCGTGGGCTGCAGCTCACTTCTTCAGATCTTCTTCACAAAAGCTTACACACACACACACACACACACACACACACAGTATAAGTTTTAAAAAACAATAGAATACCATACACACAATGATGATTGTGAAGCTTGGTTGAGGTGGTGGAGTCAGAGGGTGGGATATTTCCCAGGAAATGCCTTACTGCTAAATAATGAACTAGCACTCGGCTGAGCCCTCAAGAGTTAACACATTGTTGTTAATGTAGCCTCACACTCTACAAGGCAGCAGGAATGGAGGGAGGAGACACAGCATGACAGAGGGTGGGTGTGTGTGTGTGTGTGTGTGTGTGTGTGTGTGTGTGTGTGTGTGTGTGTGTGTGTGTGTGAGAGAGAGAGAGAG